TTTCCAAAGATGCGTCAAGTGACGCATTTTTGGAAATTTCCATGAGTAGTTGGTTGTAATTCGGCGAATCCATGAATTGGTTGAAATGAAGCGTTGAAGCACGTGCGCGCGCGGTTGCTATTATTTGTCAGTTCAGTGCGTGACATTGCGTAACTGCAATCAGCTGAATGAGAACGTGTCCCGGACGCTGATTTTGGGCGCAATTCAAAACATGCCTCTGCAACTTTTGAATTGAAATCGAGATCCTACAATATTGTTTTCTCGGAATATACAGCATTCACAGAGCTGAAACTTCATCAGGATACTTTTTAAGCACCAGTCTTTAGATTTTGAGCACTTTTGTTGCTTCAATCGAAGAAAAAAAAAGCACAATGACAAATGATCTAAGGATCTTTACATTTGAAACATTTGGTTCCTAGTCATGATAATAATGAAAAACTCAAGTGTGAGAAATGAACATGTAAAAGACTTTGGAGTTTGCAAACCCTTCAAGGCATTTTATGAGGTTTACATTTGTTATATATTTGTTATTTGTTGCAACTAAATATAAGAAATACATCAAAATATCTTTTCTTGTACTTGTACATTTGGAGGGTTTTCAAAATGTCAGTCTGCAGCTACTTCCACAGAAGTTACTATGGGGACTTGGTTTCAATATGGGGCCATGATATTCTGCTTCAGGAGCAACAAATCCTTTCAATAATGTCAGGTCAGAATTGTTTTTTTCATTCAGTTTTGACATAAAAAGCTTGGAAACGATTCTGAAGTCAGTGAAAGCCTACAGAGAGACGAAATCAGGGACTCAAAAACCTTGCTGGTTTGGAATATCTTCTGGAAAACAAATATGCCGTGCTGACGCCAGTTGTGTTGGATTGCTGCAGAGGTCAAGCCTTGGTCTTTGATTGGTCAACACACCAGAATGTAACCCTCGATCATTACAGGGAAGAAAAATAATGTCTGTGCCCTTCCTCCAAGTAGAGATTTATCTTCAAGGTTCGTATGAAGAGGAGAAGAGGATTTTGGATTTAAATTCTTCCCCCGCCTTGCTCTGGCATCCCCCGTTAATGAATCCGTAAGAAATTGAAGAATCTTCGGTAATACATGGCCGTGGTTTTTGTTTTTCGTTCGTGCTGATGGGCAGCGTGTTTGGAATTGGCTCAGTCTGGTAACCCGCCTCGAGGCTAGGGTCACCTTGTATTAGCCAGAAGCAGAGATCTGTCTCTTTCTCCTGTCTTTCTCGTATAACTTCGCTGGCATTTTAATTACTCGGGGTCTCATCCCCTAAAGCTGTTTGTCCCGATCTCACGTCAGACTGACAAGAAGTTACGGCCACAATCGTGCATGTGCATGATCGTCCGAAAGGTCACATATTTCTGAAATCCTTCGTGAGGAACTTGGTACATTAAAAACAAATTCTAAACCCTGCCCGGTCGGTGTTTGTTATCATTTTGTTATGTGAGGTCCTGGGGCCGCTTTCATGGAACTACGTGCTGAGCACAGAAAAATATTGGCTAAGCTAAAAGATACTGTTGGTTACCAGCCAGAATATCATAGGATGCACATTGTGTCTGGTTGGTTCGCTGCTAGTGTTTTCCTAAGCGGATAAATTGCTGAGCAGTATGTGCTCCTTGGAAGATTGGGCTTAGGGGTGCATACATGTACCTATGTTTCCAAATACCTATGTTCCACAAAACCAATGTTCCCCGAAATCCTTGACCTAACCCTAACCCTAATCCTAAGGATTTCGGGGAACATCGGTATTGGGGAACATAGGTATTGGGGAACATCGGGCAGACCCCGGGCTTAGCATGATTTTGTTATGTCATGCTTTCTATGAAAAATGAAAAATAGAGAGAAAAAAATGGCCTTTGAAAAAGGTCCTTCCATGATCGAAACAGTAGGCCCTGTAATTTCTATTTTATTTGAATATATCAGGACAATCCAGTCAGAAGAGCAGTTTGCAGCAGTTTTATTCATTTTCATGTGATTTTCTATACCTGACTTTATTTAGTTTTTCTGAATTTTCAAAGCAAGTTACACAAGAATGTCCCCAGTTTGATTCACCAGAGCATGAACTGAAAGGAATGTCTGCGATTACAAAAGCCGATGTGCCATAATTCAGGTTAAGAGCAGAGGGATTTACAAATTGCTGAATGACCTTTTTGTCTACACTTGCCGCTTGGCACTTAATCTTCAGGAAAAAACATCTGTAGCAACGTGAATTTTAGAACTATAGGCCTATAACATTAACGTAACGTGTTCAGTAAAAACAGTGTACTCGCATTTTACATTTTTCAACTTAATACACATGTACATGTACAATGTACATGTACATTATTGAGCTTTAAGAACTAGTTACAAGTTGTTTAAACATGATTTGACATAAAGAACAAAATAATTCTTACTGTACAGGGTCAAAAAAAAGGAAACCCAAATGTTGGGACTATTGTTTTAGTAAAGTTCTGCTTGTAGCACTTTCCAAATCTAGGATATGAAAGCCCAATCATTAGCTTTCTTTTAGTACAAGAATCATTCAAATCACTCATGTACTTTTCAAGTTACGGAATTTTAAACACAACCACCGTTTTAAAGTTCTGTCCACGGATCACAAAAAAGGTGTGCGTTCTTTCAGCAAAACGAAAACAATTCACACACGTCCCTATGTGATTTGTGTTCGTTTGGCTGAATGAACACTTACCTTTTTGCAATCCGTGGACAGAACTTTGAAACGGTGGTTGTGTTTAAAATTCATTTAAAGACCATCACATACAGGTGAAGAGTTTAGTTCCAAAACGCGATATATCCATTTGAAAAAAGGGGGAAATTTGCAAGATTTTGAAAGTTTAAAGAATGAAAGCAGTATAACAGCTGTATCTAAACGACACTTTTTGCTTTATTTTATCATTGGTTTTTGTTTAAATATGTAACAGCTGTTGAATATGACATCCATTTCGTGAAATGGTTTTAGCAAATTATGCAAAGTATCACTAGATCACAGATGCACAAAACAGATGTTTATCTCTGCAAGAATTTAGAAGCAGAATATTCGCTTCCATATTCATTGCAGCCTTTCCATTTTCATTATGTAATTGCCTTCAGGTGTTTTTTTAATTACATCTATGACCTTTTTTTTTTGCAAAAGGTTGAGTTCCATCAAGTGAAAAACCAGCCACGGGTTTCGCTCGAGCAACGTCACATTGCCAGATTTCATTCAGAGCCCGTATTACTACTTCTAAGAATAAACAAATTAAGGCACTCCGGAGACAAGTAGAGCGGTTGGATAAGGTCACCCGAAGTTAACCCGGCAAATGAAATAAGGAGTTTAAGCGCCCCGATCAGAAGGGTGTCGCTTGGGACAAACACAAAGCAATCTTAGAACCGCTCCAATATCAATCGCGCCTCCGATGACTAGAAACGTGGTTGAAACTTTGAACGATTTTCAGGGTTTTATTTTTTTTCCTTCTTTTCTCTGGGCCGAGGCAGAGGCACGGACGTGTAATCCATACGTTTGGCAACCGAAATCCATTTCTGAAACGCGAGCCCTCTGCAAATTTTCTCGGCAAATGTCAGCTGGGCCCTGCGATGGTTTTATCTTGCTTGCCTAGCAGTGTATTGTGTGTCAGCTTGGGAGACTGTCTTTGTGGAAATTAGGGCTAGGTTGGGAACACGGGCCGTTCATCGGAAGAAAAACTGCCAATATATGCTTCCCTTGTGGAAAATAATAAGGACAGTTTAGAAGTGATGAAAGTAAAAAAGATTGTCATTATAGTTTCTATACATTACAAATATTGTTTAATGTTTCCATTTTTGAGAAATAAATGTATTTCATCTTCCAAAGCCTGTGTTTATTTATTTATTTATTTATTTATTTACTTTTGATGATGCACAATTGATGAAATCAAGGGAAGATTTGGATGAAATTTGCACTCGTGTATTTTGAGGTCACAATTTTCTCTGCATATTCTCCCTTTAAAAGAAAAAGCAATATGTGCCCAATTGAGTTAAAGTGTGGCGCCGAAGGATATTTTTGGACAGAGGATGAAGAGAACCTCCAGAGAATATTACATTTATTATCTGAGGCCTGTTGATGCAGCAGTGTGTCACAATTTCATGTAGCCGAGGATATTTTTGTTGTTGCCTGTTGAAGTAGTAATAATTTTATAGGTAGTACTAAAAAATATATGATTCACTTAGTCAACTCAATTTTTTTGTAGAGTTTTCTTATGGGCGTTGTGCACTTGTAAGTTCCCCCTCATCTGTAAGAAAGGGAGAGTTGGGGGAGAGACATTGGAACACACTGCTGACGATGCCCAATGCTCACGCGAAGATGCTCTTGCTTTGTGCGTATTCAGAATAAAATGAGTCATGTGTACTTCGCGCCACATGCAGAGCTCTCAAAAATGGGGGGAAAAGCGCCCTCTCTTGTCCGCGCACGGAGCCTATAGCCTGTAGGAATTAACAGGAAATCAGTCTTCGCTGAATTGCAAAACTTAGTTTTTGTAAATTAAGGCCAAACAAAATAATAGTTCTGCTTCCAGTTACCCTACCGGTACCTACCCTATTATGACAGCCCATACCCTAATTTTTTGAGGGGGGGGGGAGATGAGGGAAAAAGCCTGAAAATCATCAATTACTACCTTTTACCCTTGACTACACGCAGACACCTCCATATGAACGCACACACAAAATTTGGCCCCCCCCAAAAAAAATTCCCTACCTACCTACCGGTACCCTATTTTCAAATGCCATGTAATCGGAAGCAGAAGTCTTTTGGGGGGGGGGGGGCAAAGCTTTTGTCCATCCCTCACATTTCAAAATTGTTCATGTCATTTTCAAAGCTTGATATTCATCATGTACATGTATTTTTAATGGTGTATTTTTCCTATAAAATTTGGCTCCAAACACTATTATTTACCAGCACATGTGCCTCTTGTCCTGGGACTTGAAACCCACAGATATCCTTGTAAAGTTTCTTGTGTCTTCTCCATTTTTGTTGACAGTTAATCATGGCAGGTGGGATAGGACTGTACTTCAGTGCAACCAATGAACAGGCCTACTCAGGAAGCATCAAAGCATTCATTGTTAAGGTAAGATATTTCCGTCAGAGAGACTTATTATAAAACAACTCCTGATTCATTTGGATATTTGGCAGGTTTCTGTACGTAACGAAGTAGTGTTTGTTCCATGTACATGTACATGTACGTATTCAAATCCTCACACACTGTAACGTTGAGGCATTCTGTCGCAAGAGGCATTCAGTCTCGAGTCACATTGCAAGCTTTTCAAATTAGCTGTGACAAAAGCATTCCTTTGTCACAGTTGTTCATCGCCTGACTTGTGATCAACTTGTGACTTGACTTGTGATCAACTTGTGTCTTGACTTGTGATCGACTTGTTACCTGAATTGTAATCAACTTGTAACTTGACTTGTGATCGACCTGTGACCGGAATTGTGATCACCTTCTAACTTGACTTGTGATCAACTTGTGACCTGACTTGTGATCAACTTGTGACCTGACTTTTGATCAACTTGTGACCTGACTTGTGATCAACTTGTGACCTGACTTGTGATCAACTTGTGACCTGACTTGTGATCAACTTGTGACCTGACTTGTGATCAACTTGTGACCTGACTTGTGATCAACTTGTGACCTGACTTGTGATCAACTTGTGACCTTACTTGTGATCAACTTGTGACCTGACTTGTGATCAACTTGTGACCTGACTTGTGATCAACTTGTGACTGGACTTGTGATCCACTTGTGACTGGACTTGTGATCAACTTGTGACTTGACTTGTGATCAACTTGTGACCTGACTTGTGATCAACTTGTGACCTAACTTGTGACCTGACTTGTGATCAACTTGTCACTTGACTTGTGATCAACTTGTGACCTGACTTGTGATCAACTTGTGACTTGACTTGTGATCATCTTGTGACCTGAGTTGTGATCAACTTGTGACCGGACTTTTGATCAACTTGTGGCCTGACTTGTGATCAACTTGTGACTGACTTGTGATCCAGAGACATGAGAGAAGAGCACTTTTTCATCATAATTTCAACAGCAATTCAGGAAGCTTTGAGAACATGTAGAGATTTGAAAAAAGAAGGACATTTTGGCTCTGTGTGCTATGCTTAGTGTTAAAAAAACATTTATAGAACAAATTTTCGAGAAAACACTGTGTTGATTTTGCCTCCTTTTTAGACAGTATTGTTGTCACAAATGTTTGCGTAACATAATCCTTATTGGAAATGGTGGAAAATGCTTTGCATCTGTAGTGATTCTCCAATAGTTGGATGAGTGATGCAATACATCTAATGCGCAGTAACGTATGCATACACCATGCCGGTGTTCTTGTTGACGTCCGTGAACGTTCTGTTGCTGGTAATTTTTGTAATCACTACCATTGGAATGAGAAGCACTCAACAGATTGAAATGAAGATGCATCTTCTGTATAGGAATGACTCGGCATTGATTTATCCATAGTGTACAATGGGTGTGCTTGTTGTGGACAGGAGTCTACATGGGTCATTATATAAATCCAGGATCCAAAGTGTGACATTTGTCCTGTCCCTGTTGCCTTGATGCCTGTAATTTGCCATTCAAGAATCATTACGAATAACTTCAAACGAGTTTTTATTTGTTGGGTAGGTACAATGTAGTTTGCTATTCATAATCACTCTTGGAGTACGACTGCACTAAGGAGTGCCACAGAAAATACAATCGTAGACATCAAGTGTCATAGGAGAGGCAAAAAGTGGACCCCAATTTATCGAATGTTTCGTGTGCAACTTAAGTTTTCCTGTGTTAAGGTCAGAGTAACATCTAAAAAGTTTAATTTTTGTTTTAAAGAAAAAGGAATCCAAAATTTAGAATCAGGATTATGGCAATATCCATCTAAAACATTAAAAGCATTAAAAGGAGTAAGCAAATGAGCAATTGCTTGTGAAAGTGAACAGAAGATAAGCAGTTTGAAGGAGTTCTTTAGCCCAATGCCAGCCAAGTATGCAAATGATATGCAAATCAGCACTGACAGGTTTCAGGATTACGTAGCAGGACGTACAGATGGTGTCATGGTATACTTTGTCCACACGAGTGCACCGGAATGCGTGGTTGAACGCTACGGATGTAAGCGTCAGGGGGGATTACATTGTGTCAGAAGATTTCATGTTTCGCAAATCGGTTGGATTATTCCCTGGCTCCCCAAAGGTGCAAGAGCAATTATCGATGCTCACGTATTAATACAAGATGGGTATGCAAATTGGGCCAAGCTTGCTCTAGGTGCGAGTTGGGATTACAATGTACATCCAGGCTGTCTGCCGTTGTGAAAGTGGAGCCTGTGACCTCATCATCTGGGAAACAGAAAAAGTACAATGTACCGACAATTTGTATGTCACGTCACTCGTCAAAGTCCGGCTTCTGGCTGCTTGCAACTAAATGACAGAAAAGGGGCAACACCTGTTTGTACCCTGGAGAGGAAGTGGGCTAATATATGCGTAAAATATGCATCGTTTGTACGAATACATTTACTGAATGGTAGTTGTGAATTAAGCAGCTGCATCTGTCATCAGATTTGGTTGTCATTGTCACATGAACTACAGTCTTTCATCTTTCATTTGAACAAATATCAGTGGGATTCCCGTGACAGTTTTGGTTCTGATGACGTCTGATAAAAATTTGCATTCACACTGCGCTTCTCATCTCAGCTGTGTTTACACATTTTAAACCCGTTCTTGAGAATGTTGTTGTTAATATGCCACAAGTAACAATTTTCAATAATTGCTTAGCTCATTTGTAAAGTATTCTACTGGTATCTGTGTAATGTTCAGTTTATGTTTGATGTTCACAGCTCATGACATGTGGGTTTCACCAACATTAATTATTGCCGCTATTTCAAACACAGAACTTTAAATGCAGGATTTCAAATTCTAAAGCTCTCAGAGAGCTCCGAACGTTTCAGAATGTGATTCCATATCATATTGTAGTGTTTGCATAACGTTGGTGTTCAGCTGTGGCAAGTTTCATTTAAGTGCAAGTGCACAATAAGCTCTGGCCGACTGGCAAGAAAGTAGGCATGAAACGATTGTGCGTACAAGCCAAGGCCGTGCCGCCATCCCACGTGAAAAACACGCGCTGAAAATTGACCAAAATAAGCCCCCCTATTAAATTTTCCTATAAAAGTAGCGCGCTATATATCACATGACTAGAACATTACTGCACAGTATCTTGCCTCCATTTACAAAATTTTCATAAACAACTTTAGGAATTGTTACAAACAATTTTTGTTAAGTATTTCATTTCTTTTGCTTGCCTTTTTTCTTTAAACTAAAACTTAGTAGTTATATTTTAGGGGAAACTAAGGGGGCTTGTTTTGGTCAATTTTCCAGGGACAGACATACTGATAGGCAAAATAGACGCGCGTCGATCTAGACAAAACCTGTTTTCCGATAACTTTCATCAAGAGTGCATTAACTGACGATGGCATGGCGTTTGGGCAATTTTTGGTCAAATATTTTTGATCAATTTTTTTTCGGGAAAGACAGACAGACAGACAGACCGACCGACCACCAAGTGACATGTACATGTAGAAGCTCCTGCCAGAGCTAAAAAATATGTGCTTTGCAATTGGCAACAGTGAATATCATCCCCTCCCCCCAAAAAAAATTACAACGGCTATTCTCGAAATATAAGGAAGAAAAAAGAGAAACAAGTGGCTTCTCTGGCAAGTACATACATTGTAGGCAGGAGCCAAAAATCAATACATCACCCTCGGAATACCTATAAACATCGCTTTCCACTCTAATTTCCCTGGCAACTACCAATGCCGAGCATTGAACATGAACACAATAGAATACTTGACCTTCAATCATAGCTAGAGACCCTTTGATTTTTTTTTTTTAATTTATCTTTACAGACCCCTTAATTGTCGTTATTAATCATTTCCTTGAAAGTCTACTCATTCATCAAGTCAAGGGAGTTCTGGCCCGGTATCCGCCGGCATTGTACAGTGAGAACAATGACGCCATCCATCACGCAGACAAACAAATGATGAAGGCTATGGCCGACCAGCCATTCAGAATGCAGGAGTGCGCCGCTGCCACTGCCGCTGCTGCTGCTACAGCTTCTCTGTAATTACGCATATTGCTCATTTCTCAATTAATTATGAGTGGGCTGGGTTTTTTTTTTTTTGCTGGGGGACTTTGGGTTCGGTCGTTGTGGGTGGTTTAGTCTTGGCATTTGAATGTGGCAGGGGGGATAATTAACCATTTTAATCACATTTGGTACGTTTTTGGTATTTTTGGTCACATTTGGCATTTGTAGATAACAGTCATTGTTAGCGCTTCATGTAGCTAGTCACTCTGTGTTTTGACAAAATACTACGTGTACCTAAACAGCAATTGAAAGAATCCGATATTTGATCATTTCTACTCTGATTGTGTACATGTACATGTATGTAACATAAATGTTGAACTTTAGTGTATTGTGTCAGTGGCATAGTGACTGGAGAGTTGGGAGTTCAACCCGTAACCCTAACCGTAATCCCCTATCCAAGATCCCCAATCCCCTATCCCTAATCCCCTATCCCCAACCCCATCCCCTATCCCTAATCCCCTATCCCCCAACCCCATCACCTATCCCTAATCCCCTATCTCCCACCTCCCATCCTCTATTCCCTATCGTTAATCCCCTATCCCCATTCCCTAATCCCCTATCCCTAATCCCCTATCTCCCATCTTCTATCCTTTATCCCCCATCTCCCATCCCCTACCCCCATACCCCATCTCTAAAATGCCCTAATCCCCCATCCCCTATCCCTAATCTGTCTCCCATTTCCCTCCCCTATCCCCACCCACTATACCTAATCCCCTATCCCCCAACCCCAATCCCCTATCCATAATCGATTATCTCCCATCCCCTATCCATAATCGATTATCTCCTATCCCCTATCCCCAATCCCCTAAAATCTATCCACTATCCCCGATCTCCCATCCCGTATCCCCATCCCCAATCACCCACCCCATCCCCTAAATCCCATCCACTAACCACTATCCCCTATCCCCATCCCCTATCCTCATCCCATGCCCC